AAGCTTAAGGCCTCCTAAACGAGGTCTAGCACCTACACATTATGTGTTCTAGCTTCTTTTCTTTTCCCTTATAGGTTTTTCAATTTATAGTAAAGAAGAGTTGATGATCAAGTATCATTTTCTGCATCTTCGGAGATCCTTCTGTCTTTGTCCTTATAGATTGTCTAGATCAGAGTAATAGGGCGCTGATGTTTGTGCGCAATGATTTGACAACTTCAATGGTGTCCAACTTTGGACTAGCAATAGTAACAAAACGTTTGCTTGGTATTTCAAGTTCACATCTTAAGTGCTTTCTACTGAATTGTAGCCATGTTCCTTCCCCCTACCCCTCAATTGGAAGGTGTTTTATCTCTGTGACTGCACAACATGGATGTGAGGGCATTGTAATCAGGCATTGAACAGAAAATTTCATAGTGAACTCTTACTAGGAAATAATGCTTAGCTGGAGAGTTTGTTTTGTTATCAATATTTCTTCCCTGGTTTGTTTCAACTGTGTTGGTTTTGATGATTCAGTTTCTGATTATGATTCCATATGCTTACTCCAGGTATCAAGGTTAATATGTACAAACTCTGGTGATGCCATCTTAGTATTAGCATCGAATGCTATTAACCTGCTTTGCTTTGTCCAAGAATGCTTGCTATGTGATATCAACATCTGGTGGAAAGATCTCTTTGTTCAACATGATGACATTCAAGGTATAACAAGATTGTCTTCTTTTTATTTCTACCCTTGACTCAAAGATTCAGTGCTGAATTATTATCTTATGGATGCAGAGAGTGACCAGGTGTCCTTTGCTATAATATCATGCAGCCTACAGTAAATCCAATATCTGTAGCATCAGCAAACAAATTCTGGATTTGCATATAGGTGGCCTCTTTTGTTGCCATCAGTGGAATGTTGTGTAAATTTAACTCCCAAAGGTGTATGTGTAGCCTTACTCCAAAGGTGAGTGCCTAGCCTCTCGCCTTGCCGCTAGGTGAGGCAGACCCTTGTTGGATATTTGTCTCCTTTCGCCATCCAAAACACTGAACTTTGGCTATGTGTTCTTAATATTTCACGTTTTTGCCTTATCTATGTGAACTTGTAGCCTCATTTTTATAACTTTGTACGTTAAGATGTTGAATTATAGTAGAAACAATAGAGAAATGAAACTAACATGTATCTTCCTTGGAATGAATGCTTAGTAGACTGTTGTCAAGTTAATATTACACATATTCAAGAAGTGATAGTAATTTTTGATAAACATATAGTTAATAATTACTAAAATTAAAAAGCAATAATTAATGATATCTTTACCGTCTAAATGGTGTCTATTTACTCTAAATGGTATTTACAAGTAAATTAGATTGAAATTTTTTGAACCTCTTCTCGTTATCTTAGAATCAAGAAAACATGATGGGATAATTTTAGAAATCCTTAAACTCGAGAAATATGCAAAGAAATAGAAAGAAGTAAATAGCTAAAAAATGAGATCCAGTTTTAGTAGTTTCAAAAATAAAAAAAGTGATACATTTTTAGTAATAGTCATGATTGTGAATGGACCATGCAACAAAATTGCTTAAAGGACATACAATATACAAATGATAGAAGTAATAGCAAGAGGCATAACAGAAGCAAAAAACAAGATATAAGAAAGCAACAACTAAAAAATTGTGTATTTCATGATTCCAAGTAAACTAAACATGCCTTCACCACAAAAAGCTTTATTCTAAGCCACTTTTGTTTGTAATCACTACCCTTAAAAGAATCGCATCCGGTGACAAAGATAGACTAGAGACAACACAAAATTAAGAGCCCTTCCTTCCGAGCAGGAGGAGAACTCATATCCTCAATGGAAAGATAAGCACAAAACTGTTGGATCACATTTTGTTATGAACAACAATGTGTTGTTTCTTTGAAATTCTGGTGACTGAGTAATTGTTTAAATCATTTTACCCTTACGATGGTGTTATTTGCACAAAAGAAGAACCTGATTGTCTGATTTGGCTCATAGAGAATTGGCCAGAGTTTTGCGAGAAAAAGCCAACTCTCATGCCCAATGTGATGATACAAACTATGAAACCTGGAGCACAGTAATAGAGTACTAGACAGTGGACATTATAGAGTAACATAAAGCTAGTTTTGAATTTTGGCTTATGAATCTATAGAAATTCTCATCAATCATTAAACAAAAATACCTTCACATCTAATATATTGTTTATACTATAATTATTATGTATATATTTTTTTTTAATATCACTCTTTATTTTCATGTAAAATCAATAAAAATAGTATTATTACAAATAGAATTTTATTTGTAATTCATGCTTGATATACAATTCTTTTATCTAGAATATATCACGGTATAAATATAATTAGTGGCAAAATTGGATTATTGTTACATTCTTAATATAAATATTCATCTGATAAATTTATTATTTTGGAAGTATTCTTTTATAGAAAAATCTTAGTACTACGTATAATTTATTATTATCATTTTTTTACTGTACATATGCATGGGTATGCGATTTTATATTTGAAATATAATAGAAATTTCATATATCATTGTTATATATTCTTTTATATAATTTAATTAGATAAAAAGAATTTGTTAATTTTTTTTTATTAAATATAAATAAATTTTTTTTATTTATGATACAAAATATAGTAATTTGTAGGAAAGTCTAATTGGGGTGAAATAAGAATAAAGAACAAAAATACATCCATATTCATCCAACAGCAACAAAAATGACACAAAAGAGAAAGGCATTTCATCTATAAACCTTACTGAAGCCGAAACCTAACCAAACCCAGAATCGGCCAAGTAGCATGACGGCGCAACACCAACGAAGCTTCTCCGTTATAGAGAAGAAGGCTTCAGCTATGGCAGAATCACATCTACCCAAATCTTTTTCTTCAGTTACCATTCAAAATCTAGGGATTCTGTAAACACTGATGGGTGTTGTGCAATTTGATACAACTAAAAATCGATTTGTGGCAGCGGTGGATGATTTCTCAATCAAATTCTCCGATGTGGACCATCCAGTAAGTTTTATTCATTGAGAAAATTGTGGTGTTGTGTACACTATATTTAACTGCTTTTTCCTTTTATATCAATGAATAAATTATTTAATGCAATCCCGATTCATTTCTTTATTTAGCCTGTTTCTGCTAATGAAAATGTGATAAAGGTTTTGGCAAACAATAAAGGTATTGGCTTCCAGGGCATCTAGAACTAAATCTTAGGGTTCCATTTTTTTCTTTACACAAACATAACCAGGTGTCCTTTGCTATAATATCATGTAGCCTACAGTAAATTCAATATATGTAGAATCAGCAAACAAATTCTGGATTTGCAGATAGGTGGCCTCTTTTGTTGCTAATCAGTGGAATGGTTTGTAAATTCAACTCCCAAAGGTGTATGTCTAGCCTCACTCCAAAGGTGAGTGCCTAGCCTCTCAAAACACTGAACTTTGGCTATGGTTGTAAATATTTCACGTTTTTGCCTTATCAAAATGAACTTGTAGCCTCCTTTTATAATTTCGTATTTATCAAGAAGTTGTTGAATTATAGTAGAAACAATACAAAAATTAAATCAACGTATGTCTTCCTTAGAATGAATGCTTAATAGATTGTTGTCAAGTTAATATTAACACATATGCAAGAAGTGTTTGTAATTTATTATTAACATATAGTTAATAATTACTGAATTTTAAAAAACAATAATTAATGATATCTTCACTGTCTAAATGGCGTCTGCCTACAAGTAAATTACATTGAGATTTGCACTATAGAGAAGATTAAGCGGAAAGTAATTACCACTTTAGGTTTTTGGTGTAAAGAAACGAACATAGAAGAAGAAATTCAACTAGTGGATTTCATAGGAGCTTTGTAAGTAGTCCCATTTTTTTTGTTGGTTTTACTATGTAACTTAACACTTTTGGAGGTGGACAGCATAGCCCTTAATGTTGAGGAATACGATGTTACCGGTTTCAAAAAAAAAAATTACATTCAATTTTTTTTAGCTATTCTAATAATCTTAGAATCAAGAAAACATGAAGGGATATTTGTAGAAATCCTTAAACTCAAGAATGTGCAAAAAAATAGAAAGAAGTAAATAGCTAAAAAATGAGATGCAGCTTTAGTATTTTTTTTAAAAAAAAAAGTGATACATTTTTAGCAATAGTCATGATTGTGAATGGACCATGCAACAAAATTGCTTGAAGGACATACAATCTACGAATGATGAAGTAACCATAAGAGGAAACATTTTTACCAAATAACACAAGCAGAAAACCTAAGATACCACAAAAAGCTTTATTCTCAACCCCCCTTTTTTGTTTGTAATCACTATCCTTAATATAATCGCATCCGGTGACTAAGATAGAAGAGACAACACAAAATTAAGAGCCAAGCAAGATCCTGTATGAAAAGATAAGCACAACACTGTTGGATCACATGGTTTATTTACAATCAACTTAACACTAGCAGTTTCATTTGTTGATAACATGTACGGATGCCACGTGGCTTTATCATGTCATATTGTGCACAAAAGCGATGTGAGAAACATTGAAATTTCCAACCCTAAAACCTGAAGGAGGATAATCTATGGTTTAATATGCATAAGTTGGTATCTTTAATGAACAGTTTTTTCTCTCATTTTGTACATGTATTATTTCCTATATTATCTCATTTTATACATGTATTATCTACTATTTTATCTCACTTTATACATGTATTATCTGTTATGTCATTTCACTTTATACATGTATTTCTGCTATGTTATCTCATTTTATACATGTATTATCTGCTATCAATATGCTCAATGTAAAGGTGTCCAAGTATTGAAAATGAGATAACACTTACAATTAGATATTTCATGAATCAAGAAACCTGGGATTATACCTTAGTGACTGAGAGATTCTCAATGAGCTTCAGGGATTTGCACTGTGATGATTCTCTAGTTTCAGTGACCTTCCATATCTTGTCATTAGGTTTTTCATTTATCCGGGGTGGTGCATTTCTTGCATCCGGTCTTACAAAGCCAATAGAATGTAAAATAATATTAGTAGATGAAATTGATATGAAAATCAGAAAAAATTTCTCTGTGTCCTCCACTGTTAAATAAAATGAGTGTCTATTTATCTATCTTCTTATTTTCAAGTAGGAAGCCTCAAACTTAAAACTTTCAGCTACAACGAACATACCTGCGCGCAATCCCAAAATGAGGGTTATACGAAGGGTAAAATGTAGGCATACCTTACCACTACCTTGATAAGGGTAGAGAGGTTTGTTTCGATAGACTATCGATTCAAAAGAAAAGTGGGTTTCGAAACATATATAAGGAAATAAGAGAGCAAAAGAGATGCAAGCAAATAGAACAACACATAGTAATAAACACTGAATAACAAAGAAAATATTTGATTAATGAAATGAAGTTATTATTGATAGACAAGAAAACCCTATAAATTGAAAAGAAAAAAATAAGTTACATGAGATGCTATTGATGGAATTAATATAATAGGCTTAAAGTTCAACAAATTTAGGGTTCCAAATTGAACGTCAAACCTGTTGAATTAACTCCATCAATGGCGTCTCGTGTAACTTCTTTTTCTTTTTCAATTTCTAGGGTTTTTTTGTCTAATAGTAATTATTGTGTTTCATTTCCTTATCCGTAGTCATATATTTTCTTTGTCATTTGTATTTATTATTGTTTGTTGTTCTATTTGCTTTGTATTTCTTTTGCCCCTTATTTCCTTATAATCGTGCTTCGAATTCAACTTTTCTTTTGAGACGATGGTCTATCAGAAACAACCTCTCTACCCCCAATGGCCAATAGTATAGGGTTATAGGGGTAAGGTCTGTATATATCTTACCCTCCCCAGATCTCACTTTGTGAAATTGCACTAGTATGTCGTTGTAACTTTTTAGTTTGAGAGACTTCCTACTTATAAAACAAGATACATAGATACTTATTAGGTTTAAAAGTGGAAGACACACTAAGAAGTCTTGCCTGCGTTTCATGTCAATATCATCAACTAGCTTTGTAAAAATGGGCATGTAAAAAATGTAAGATCCCGAATTAATGGAAATATTCACGACAAATTCAAGATATGGAAGTTCAAGGAAATTAGTGATCCATCACAGTGCAGTCCTTGAAGCTTCTTGGAGTGACTAAGGTAGAATCTCCCTGTCTCTTGATTCATGAAAATCTTTATCTCATGAATTACTGATAGCGAATAATTCATGTATAAGATAAAAGACTTTTCCATTGAACATACAAGCAGATGCACACTAAGCCATAACTTGTCCTCCTTCAGGTTTTAAGGTTGGAAACTTTAATGTTTTTCATAACACCTTTGTGCACAAGCCATCAGCAAATAAAATTGTTTATGTTAAGTTTAGTGGAAATGAACTATATGATCCAGGCAGTGTTGTGCTTCTGTTTTCATATGAGTTTGAGTTCTCCTCCTGTTTGGAAGGGAAGGGGTCTTAGTTTCGCGGCATCTCATTTTTCTATCTTGGTCAGTAGTCTTGATTCTATTGAAGTGAAATTAAAATTTCAAAAAAGGTGATCTTTCAGAACGTCATGGGAAGCTTAAGGCCTCCTAAACGAGGTCTAGCACCTACACATTATGTGTTCTAGCTTCTTTTCTTTTCCCTTATAGGTTTTTCAATTTATAGTAAAGAAGAGTTGATGATCAAGTATCATTTTCTGCATCTTCGGAGATCCTTCTGTCTTTGTCCTTATAGATTGTCTAGATCAGAGTAATAGGGCGCTGATGTTTGTGCGCAATGATTTGACAACTTCAATGGTGTCCAACTTTGGACTAGCAATAGTAACAAAACGTTTGCTTGGTATTTCAAGTTCACATCTTAAGTGCTTTCTACTGAATTGTAGCCATGTTCCTTCCCCCTACCCCTCAATTGGAAGGTGTTTTATCTCTGTGACTGCACAACATGGATGTGAGGGCATTGTAATCAGGCATTGAACAGAAAATTTCATAGTGAACTCTTACTAGGAAATAATGCTTAGCTGGAGAGTTTGTTTTGTTATCAATATTTCTTCCCTGGTTTGTTTCAACTGTGTTGGTTTTGATGATTCAGTTTCTGATTATGATTCCATATGCTTACTCCAGGTATCAAGGTTAATATGTACAAACTCTGGTGATGCCATCTTAGTATTAGCATCGAATGCTATTAACCTGCTTTGCTTTGTCCAAGAATGCTTGCTATGTGATATCAACATCTGGTGGAAAGATCTCTTTGTTCAACATGATGACATTCAAGGTATAACAAGATTGTCTTCTATTTATTTCTACCCTTGACTCAAAGATTCAGTGCTGAATTATTATCTTATGGATGCAGAGAGTGACCAGGTGTCCTTAGCTATAATATCATGCAGCCTACAGTAAATCCAATATCTGTAGCATCAGCAAACAAATTCTGGATTTGCATATAGGTGGCCTCTTTTGTTGCCATCAGTGGAATGTTGTGTAAATTTAACTCCCAAAGGTGTATGTCTAGCCTTACTCCAAAGGTGAGTGCCTAGCCTCTCGCCTTGCCGCTAGGTGAGGCAGACCCTTGTTGGATATTTGTCTCCTTTCGCCATCCAAAACACTGAACTTTTGCTAAGACCATGAATTTGTATGTATAGGTAATATTTAGCATAATACCAAGTAGAGTGTAGTAATAGGTATATATATATTGGAACATAAAACTAAGACACGCATTATTTTTTCTAATGCATTCTACGAAACGACTTCTTACTGCTTTAATTTTAATGATATTTTGCTATCCACCTTTGAAGAGAAGAAAACGTCATTTTTCTTGTAGTTAGACTTTCATGAGCTAGAATAGTGAAATTGGTATCAGAACAATATCCAGTGCTGAAGTCTGAACTGCTACGGATCATGGAAAGGTGAAACCCCCCCTCAAAGTTGGCCATTGTTACAAAGATATGAACCAATGCATGGCTATATGTTTGAACATAACGTACATTAATGCATACAAGAGGACTACAAAATTAACTTTCTTAGACCATCTTGCTTTAAAAAAAATTTAGATGAATATTTCAAAAGAATTTCATTTTGCAATCATGTATGTGTAAAATCATGTTATTACAATGAAGTGGGGCATCTGATTTCCAGTATGAACATTTCTAGCATTACTGGAGTATCCCTCGGAATATTATGTTTCAGATGTTTGATTTTTTCAACTTCTCTGCATCCTCGTGTGCATACAATAAGTAAATTTATTTGTGATATCCTCAAGAAGTAATGTCAGGATACGTAGTCACTTCACCAAACTGATTTCATCTCTGATATTTGAAGTAATTTTTCAATAACCTTGTCATATTTTTGCAGCAATTCAAATATCCAAACCAATTTGCATTAGGTATTCCAGATGGTAGTGTTCATGTTTTTGAACCACTTGAATCTGGAGGTAAATGGGGTGTCCCTCCACCACTTGAAAATGGCTTTGCAAAAGGTGTGCCTTAGAGGTTTCTTTGTTATGTCGGTGCTTGATCGGAGCCTGAAGCTCCAATAGATGGCGCAGCTGGCACACCTTTTGCAAAGCCATTTTCAAGTGGTGGAGGGACACCCCATTTACCTTCAGATTCAAGTGGTTCAAAAACATGAATACTACCATCTGGAATACCTAATGCAAATTGGTTTGGATATTTGAATTGCTGCAAAAATATGACAAAGTTATTGAAAAATTACTTCAAATATCAGAGACGAAATAAGTTTGGTGAAGTGACTACGTATCCTGACATTACTTCTTGAGGATATCAGACACATAAATTTACTTATTGTATAGCTTGATTCGCCGATTTGGCTCGTTGAGAATGGACCAGAATTTTTGTGAGAAAAAGACAACTCACTCTCATGCCAAATGTAATATGAACTGATCATAGTGAACTCTTACTAGGAAATAATGCTTAGCTGGAGAGTTTGTTTAGTTATCAATATTTCTTCCCTGGTTTGTTTCAATTGTGTTAGTTTTGATGATTCAGTTTCTGATTATGATTCAATTTGCTCACTCTAGATATCAAGGTTAATATGTACAAACTCTGGTGATGCCATCTTAGTATTAGCATCGAATGCTATTAACCTGCATTGGAAGTGGCTAAGAAATGAGCGCAGTTCAGGGGGCAAGGAAATGTACACCAAAATTGTGTCAATCTTTCTTTAGGCAACAACCAGTGTTTCACCAGCACAGTGGCAACCTTCAAGAGGCATCTTAATGACAATTGATGTGCAAAAACCAAACCATGAGGAAGCTGTCTCCTTCTTTGCTTTGTCCAAGAATGCTTGCTATGTGATATCAACATCTGGTGGAAAGATCTCCTTGTTCAACATGATGACATTCAAGGTATAACAAGATTGTCTTCTTTTTTATTTCTACCCTTGACTCAAAGACTCAGTGCTGAATTATATCTTATGGATGCAGAGAGTTTCATGCCTCCACCTCCAGCAGCAACTTATATTGCCTTCCATCCTCAAGATAACAACATCATCACTATTGGTATGGATAATTCTATAATGTTCGACTGGGTGAGGAATGATAAAGATAAAGACGAAGTCTTTGTTGTGATTGATAGTCATCTGATTTCCTGTTTTGGGCCAGTTACCATATGTTGTTATTTAGTAGATGTCAATCTCTTGTTGAAGGTTAAAAGCAAGCTTAAAGGGCACTCTAAAAGGATACCTGGCCTTGCCTTCTCTCATGTGCTCAATGTGCTAGTTTCCTCGGGAGCTGATTCTCAGGTTAATGACTTATATGCTTGGCTATCATGTAGTATTTGACTTCTCAGTGTTTTGTAAAACTGTTCTCTCAATAATTTGGAAAATATGTGTGATTGATTGCTTTTTTTCTCCCAAGAATGTGCATATAGTGTATCGTACACTCTCCATCCTATTCAATGTTGAGCCAATCGAATAGGCATGGGAATTAGAAGTAATTTCGCTGCATGTCATATTTGATGATGATAAAGGTAGATGAAGAATCTTCCCATGCTCGAAATAAAAGCTGAAAATTCTGATTGTTTTGAAAAGTTAGAATTATCAAGACATGAAGTAGCTGTTTTGAAAGTGTTTCAAGCATTTTGGAAGACACCAAATTTAAACTACATAGCCTATAGATGAGGTGAGTATATTGCATGTTTTGCATAATCTCTCTGCAGTCATGATTAGTTTTTGGATTTTTAATGTCTTTTACTGATAACAAATACTAAGCCTGCATCCACATCTCAAATGATCATTGATCTTAAAAAAAAAGAATCACTCTGCATTTCTGACACTCTTTAAAGGGGTTATTCTTTATATTTTTCGTTGCTCTTTCTTATCCTTCTGTATTTATCAACATCATCTGCTTTTGTAGAGCTGTGTATGGAGCACTGTTGGGCGGGAATGCAGAGGGCCAGATCCTTGCAGCTACGGTGTCGATCGATATCTCAATCAGATACCAGAGTGCAGTTCATCAGGATCAAACTCATTTCTTTGTTGTGCATGACGCACAGCTTGCAATTTATGAAAAAACAAAGTTGAAATGCTTAAAGCAGCAGGTAAGTCGTCTACAGTTGGTTATTAAATGCCGGCAGATCTCAAAACCTAATACATTATATCTTTTCTACAGTGGGTTCCGTGCTGAAGTACTGCCCCAATTTCTAATGTGATAGCCAGCTGATACATGCCAGTTTCTTGGATGCAACTGTGTGCATATTCACTCTCCATATGCGATGCCGGTATTATTCCTGGGTATTTTTTGCTGCCTGCAAACTTGTTTACTGCTTTATTGAAGACAAAAATCGTCATTTTTCTTTTTGTTTCGTGACCTAGAATAGTGAAATCGATATCAGAGCAACATCGAGTCCCCAAGTTTGAACTGCAACTCATCACGGGAAAGGGAGGGAACCCTCAAACTTGGCAATTGGTAAAAAGATATCAATCATGCATGGCTATGTTTGAACATAACATACATTTTATACATACAAGAGGACTACAAAATTCACTATTCTAGACCATCTTTTTAAAAAAAATTGGGATGGATGTTTCAAAAGAATTTCGTTTTGCAATCATGTATTTTTGTAAAATCATGTTATTACAATGGAGTGGGGAGATTTGCTAGACTTGACATGTCTGGCGTCACCTGGAATATCCTCGGAATGCTATGTTTCAGGTGTTTGATTTTTGGAACTTGTGTGTATCCCTGTGTCCATTGAATAAGTAAAACTATGATGTCTGATATCCTCGAGAAGAAATGTCAGGATAATTGACCAAACAGAATTCATTCTGATATTTGAAGTAATTCTTTCAATAACCTTGTCATTTTTCTGCAGCAGTTCAAATATCCACCCAGTTGTTGCAGAACATCTAGAAGATCCAAGGCAATATGCACTAGCTATGTCAGATAGCAGTGTTAATGTTTCCATACCACTTGAATCTGGAGGCAAATAAGGTGTCCTTCCACCACTTGTAGGTTGTGCAGACGGCGTTCCAGCAATCTGAAGGCAGATGGGGCGTGTAAATGGTTCTGCAGACGGCATTCCAGCAATCTCAAGGCAGATGGGCCGTTCCTCCAACACTTGAAAATGATTTTGCAGAAGATGTGCCAGCTGCTCCATCCTGGAGCTTGGAGCTTCGATCAAGCACCAAGATAACAGAGAATTATTAAGCAAACAAACAGTCTATAGTACTTTTGACAAGCCTGAACTCCTCTGTGAAGTCACTAATGACATTTGTTTTTCGAATTCTTTGGCTTATGTGAATCAACAATATTTTTCAGTTTGTTTATCAAGATAATTGATAGAAAATCCAAAACGAGTGTTTTAATATCAATATACAAATGCCTTAAAATGTGAAAGAAAAATTATTCAGGTGTGAGAAAGTGTGCATCTTGGGGTGGATAACATCCGCATTAAAATTATGCATAGTTATATCATAGTACGCACAAAGATACATCATAGGATATATATCCAAAGGAAGTCCCTTAGGTAACTGTTCACAAGCAACAGAAAAAATTTAAAAAGCCACATCCACAGAATATATATACAAAGGAAGTCCCTTAGGTGCCAAGCATTTCACGAGTTTGTTCTTCCTCTTGCCAAGGAAATAATGGTTCCCACATCTGAGCCTTAGCTGAACGTAAGCTTACTAAAGCCGTATCCTGACCTCCCACCAAAGTACCATGACGGCGCAACACCAATTCAGAATTTAGAAGTGGTTGCTGTTTCTTACAAATATGTACAAAACCTACTAACCTACCCCCAGGACCAAGGAAGCTTATCTACATTTTCCCTCATACTGAAGTGCCCCATACGACAGAGAGGAGGCTTCATCTATGGCATGATGAAAAGATCGACCAAAGATGCACAGATGAGTGACATCTAGGCAAATCTGCAACAGACATTATTTACAATTCAAAAAATAACACGATTTATTTTTAATCTATGTACAGCAGTCCCCCAGCACTGACTAGGTGATCAAAACAAGTATCCTTGCATCATCTATTCAGGCCTGTAGTTCACCAGATTTGGGAGCTCAGTTGACTGAAGTTTCCTGATGTCATTTGCAGTTACCTTGCAGGATTCCAAGGTAAGTGATTTCAAGTTCTTGAGTTGCTTCAAGTGTTGCAACCCCATATTTGTTACGCGAGAATTTGAGACATTCAGAGACACCAGCTGTGTCAACCCTGAATTTCAATAAAGACAAGCTCCCGTTAGAAATTCAGAAATAGAAAAGCTATAGACAGCAACTACTGTCCAGTAAGGGGTAATGAAAAATTCTAGAAATCACCACGAGGTGTACATCCATTGCTATAGCTGCATGGGATAACAAACAGAGGGAGAACTAAAGAAAACGCCGGCATAAAATTAATAAAAAAAAACTGAGGGGAAGGACAAGCTTAGAGATAATGTATATGCCCTTTCTCCACACGTGCAAAATTTAGAGAACAAACAAGCCCAAGCTACAGGGGGGGAAGCATAAATAGACGTGAAACAATACCAGAAATCACTTCCAAGCTCTTGTCAGTCAGGTGACTGTTTTGAGAAAGATTCAGCAGTGTCAAGGACGTCAGGTCCTTGATGTTCTTTACACCAGCATCGGTTAAACCTCCACCACAAATTTCCAGGGAACGCAGATTCTTAAAATCTATCAACAGATTTAATTGACCAGAAAAATCATAATCAGAATTGAGATGATTAGAAGTGATGAAATTTAAGTCTGAATTACACCAGATATAGAAGTATGGAATGTGATTTAGGATTCAAACAAAAAGGGGCTAGGGAGGGGAGCATGAACACTTTGAAAAGTAGAGCAGCACATCAGGATTAACATTTGTTTCACATGAATAACAGGCCATCACTATAGCCACAAGCAACAGGAATGAACTATTTTACATATCCTTCATATTACCAGCAATAGCACTATCGTTAAAGCCCACACTCTAAAGGATAATAAATAGGATATAGAGGCAGGCCAGCAGGGGCAAGGAAAGCACCAAAAGTTCCACAGGACAGACTCAGATATAAGGAGATCCCAATTGTTGCATAAAATTGATAAGACGTACATCGAAGATAGCTTGTTCCAGAATCAGTGATCTTAGCTCCAAAAAGGTCCAAGTGAGTTAATCCAGTCAAGCCTGCATTTACAGAAACCATATTGGACAAATCAATTCTAATAAACACAATTCATATTCTAGTAACATAAGCTCTCACATAGTTGCCACTTAAATTATGGAAGGAATCCCTTTATGAAATATGTAAGCATTAGCATGACACTACTATAATGCCTGAGGAGCAACCTATTTCAACAATTTTTGAAAACCATAAGAATATTCTTAGGCTTTCAAGTTCAACCAGTAAAATTAAATAGCAAAAGAGAAAAGCTGTTGTACAAATCGACTACTCAAGCACCAAGCGTCCAAAGAAAGGAATTCCCTTCAAGTGATGTCAAGGAGGACATTCACAAGGAGTTGAATCCCAGGACTTGCATTTGAGGTTGAAGCGGGATGTTCTTGAAGAGATCAAGAACGGAGCTTACAAGGATTACAAGCTCCGTAATGGAGTTTGGAAGATGCAGATGACACAACACTTCACCCAGAGATGGGAGACGAACTGGACCACCAAAAGATGAGTTTTGAGGCCCTTAGGTATCCAGGAGATGGGATACACTTGGACAACCAAAGGATGAGTTTAGAGGCTCTTAGATGTCCAGGACTTCAACCTGTAGTCAGAGAAGCGCCAGCTCAATGACCTGAAAGATGTAGGATGACCAGCATCTCAACTTTTCCCTAATCAACCTGACTAGCTGACATGTTGATATTACCTTTGGTTTGGACTTCCTCTAATTTATTTACAGATATTTACGGGTCACAAAACCTATTTGAATTAGCCTATAAATCATTCGTTTCAACATCAGTTGGGAGACGTTTCGACTCTTAAACTTGTGGAGCTAGGTAGACCTCTATGCTCTTCGGGGTCGATCAAAAAAGTTAACACGGGAGTGATTTGCTTGTACCTCTTCTTCTTCGCTTTGTATCTTTAGTTCATTTGATAGAGATTTAAGAGATTATTAATTTTGTTAATATTAACTTTAGTCTATTTCCCATACTTGGGATTTTTTATGTCAATTTTATCTTAATATACTACATATTCTATCCTCCCCTTTCTTTTTAAACTCTTGTAAATTTGGGAGTTGACACAGCATTGATTGACGAGCCACGCAACAGTCAACAATAGGCAGGAAGAGCAGGCCCTAGAGTTTAAAAGATTCAAGTTGAGCAGGAATACTATTCAAAATTTTAGGGCCCGCTCTAATAATATAGTAACTTGTGCATTGTTGGGCATCGTTAGATCATGTTCAAAATTGAATAGGATGTTGAGATCCTTGTTTCATTTGAAAAAATTAGAGTACATCTGCCACATTCTATCCAAAATCCGAGCTAATTTTAAGAAGAAATTATGCGCTGTGTTAAGTGCAAAATCCTCGGACTCAAAATTTACTTTTGAGCTAATTCTTGCTTCAACATGACGACTTTGAGACCTCTAGTTCATGAGAAAAAAATTGAGTTGAAAGTGACACCATATCGTAAAATTCTTACTTGTAAGTGCTGCAAGCCCAGTATCAGTTATTTGGCGTGCGTCCAAATTGAGCGACCTCAAAGAGGATAGCCCACAGAGCTTCTTTAGACCACTGTCCGTGACAACAGTGAAGGACAGATTTAAGCTCTCTAAATTCCTTAGCCCTGCACATTAAAAAAGCAAACAAATTGCATAAGCATAAAACGCAAAGCAGCGTCCATTTCTCTAATCATAACATAGGCTTCACGAAAAGGTACTCCCACAGAGATTAGACTTCAGTGTTTTCCCTTCGATGCATTATAAATTGCAAGGAAAAATGAAAAAGAAGTGGAAGGTTTAGCCAAGATAATTTTGGAAATTAGAGCCATCAAGGTCTGAGCCAAATTGAGCAAGGGCTGCCACTTCGCGATATTGTACCAATTCCCATAAACTAGTATCTATTACATTTCCCACGGCAATACAGAAAGTGGATTAAGATGGGCTTAAAAGAAACCAAACCAATTCAGAAATCCTCAAGTCATAACATTCAAGTTTCACTCTCAATCTGCTTCGTGCAGCTATAATGAGCTTCAACAACAGAAACATGGAACAGGTTCGTTCCAAGAAAGTTTACCCAGATTTTGTTTACAAGGAATTATCTTGAAGACATCTTTTAGGCTAGGAGTAATAATAAAGTTGGTGTAGGCATAATTCAATTCAACTCTCGACTATAGCCAACTAATTATTTGATCTCTCTTAGCTTTACCTACACAAAATTCAATGTGTCCTGGTTCACCCTAAAAAGCAAAGTAGAAAAGAAAATCAAGACACGATCATCTCATCAGAAGTGGGATGGAACCCAGTCCAGACTCCAGCGCAGTTCTTGAATTTCTGAAAGCTTCAACCGAATGAAGAAAAACCAGAGTACAGTTCAAATTTCTACAGTAAGCACGAGGCACAAGAGAAACCTGAGAGATGACGAATCCCATTGTTTCCAACTTCGGTGTCAGACAACTCCAAACTCTTCAGGCGATGAAGACCTGAAACAGAATAGCAAAAAAGAGGGAAATTGGAAAATAAAACAAGCTAGAATTACACCAGTCGTCAAATAAAGTTACGGAGACTTTAGTATGAATTGACCCAAAGAATTGGTCAAGATATCTATTAAGGCATAAGATTGTTACCAGAAAAGGATAACAGGAAAATACTTTCCAAGGCAAGCAATCACAACTAACATTCAGTTTCCCTTTTTAGTTAACACATAAAGAAAAAGTTTCAATAATATTAATTTGCGAATGTTGTTTATATATCAATTGATGTGGAGACAAATAGAAGTCTAATTAGTTTGTTATGAGGCACCGTTAACTGATACCGAGTGAAACACTGACCTGACAAATAAATCAGCCCTTCATCTCTAATCCTACATGAGTCCAGGTTTAAGCTCTCCAAGTATGACAAACCTGCTCAAAGCAACACAAAAGCTTGAATAAATTTATATCATCAGACCATATGCTAATGTTTCCTTTTTGACAGGTAAAATCCGACTTAAAAACCTCATGCTAATCAAGTTCAGTATCAAGGACACCATTAGGTTTAACGTTCGGCTTGTACTCGAGCACATAAAATAGTAATCGATGTAACCACAGAAGAGATGACAATGAGGATGGCAGAGGGCGGCAGGCGGAGTACAAATCCCACCATTATTACCCACCCCATCAGTTGTGTGCACAAGTCATATCAGTTTAATGAAA